GCCTGACCTTCTCTTACGTCATTATACTAATTTATTCTCAAGAGTTCAGCACAAATTCTGCCTTTTGAAAACAAGTTCTCAGAAAAAAATCTCCAAGGATCACTCTTAAAATACTTATATAATTTGGCACCGATTTTGAGTTGGAACAAAGATTTCGTCAACATTTCTGATATCTGAGGATTTAGAATCCCATAAGCTCTAGAAAGCTATAGTAACCGGTCTGAGGTTTACTAGACACAATGCTAATGGATTTTCTACTCCGATTACTTGAACCGGTCTGTAGCTTAGTCATGGTGAGGGATAGATTTCGATCGCTGGAGACACTCCTAATTGTTGCAAAACAAAGACGAGCAAAGAAGATGTTCGGGGATATTATTATGGTTGTTTACATAAGGGACAAACTATTATATTTACACTGTTTAGATCAAAAGCCTCCAAAAACGCGATTGTAAAGAGCGTTACTGGAGGGAGGTTGGCACTTGAACGTAGGACGCACACTTGCTTTTCCGCAGCAAGATGTGACATAATATGGGGTCTCGTATCACCTATGGCATCAAACAGCATTGAAGGCATTCAAAACCAACACCGATTACCCGATTTTTTGATTCTACCTCTGTTACTGAAAGCAAGTCCGCAATTACGGCACGCGCAGCCGCGGGAAACAAGAGTCACATCTGGTTTTATCTTCGTAATTTCGCCCGTTCTCATCACGGTTAGTCTCCCATTTCCAAAACACTTATTCGAATTACATTCCGATTCTGCAAACTGCAAACGTATGTCTTCTAGTCCATCTAATTCTATTTGTAGTGAATCCTGGGCCTGACTTCTCAGTCACATCACCTTCGTATTCGGTTCCCCCCCCCCTTAGGAAGCACCTCAACTTCAATTATGAGCTCGAATCAATGTGTCCAACCTGACCTCAAACGATGACTATTTTAGGCCGACAATCCAAAAGGATCCACCATAAGGATGATTCAAACCACACTGAAGAATTTTGTCGGTATATCACCGCCAGTTTTCCATGGTCGAGGTGTCTTCAATTACAACTTCGGGCTACTGCCATACAGGTCAGACAAATATTTTTGAAATAGCACTGCCGACTGCCCCAAGGCACAGCAATTTTCAGAAAACCAATCCACACCGTCTTGGGAGCGCCCATCAAAGTCACGAAGACCGAAAATCCAACCCAGGAGCAAATCGACGATTTGCATAGGCAATACGTGACCAAGTTGCAGGAATTATTCGACTCCAATAAGACCAAATACGGAGTCGCTCCAAAGACTCAACTTGTATTGCAGTAATTTCGTACATGGAGTACAACTCAACCATCTGCCATCATAACCTCAACATACGAGTAACTATGGAGTCATTTCTATAGTAGTGGAGTCATGTTTCATAGGAAATAGCGGATTCTCGTATGTGATATTGTTTCTGATAAATCATAGAAATAAGTGAAACTCTTCAGCCGACAGCTATGAACTAAGAACAAGTACTTAGTGACTTATATGAGGTATTGTTTGGAATGGTTTGCTTATCTGTATCCTTTGCAGTTTTCAATGTCAAATCGCCGGACCGCGAGCGCAACAGTGTGGGGCATGTGCCCATAAAATTAGCATTTTCTGATGCAGCAAAATTGTCCCATGTATACCACTCGAGAAGCAGGAGACATGAGTTTCTGATGAACCTATTAGTAATAATATGACGAAGAGTTCAAGCAAGACGCAGAATCTGTACAATATAGCAGTTCGAAAACTGCTGAAACGCGCTGACTTCGAGAGAAGCGGGAAAGGAGCCGCGAATTATGAAAAGTGGACTTCAACCAAACATTTTCATGACTCCGAATTAGATTCAATATGCACGAAGTACTTTGATAATTGCTATCAAAGAAGACAGTATTATTGCCCCTAATATTACACTAAATCTACAGGATATTTTGAAATGTTCAACATCATTTCTATTAAATCGCATTACATATGTGATGGGAAAAAAAAAAGATGAAGAGATCACACATGGCGGTTAGCGAACCGCAGACTGCTTTGGAGAGAGTAGGAATGGTACAGTAGAGAGAAAGAAAACGAAATGATAAAACTAAGAAGATATACTTCTACGAATATACAGGGGGGGCCAAAAAAAAAGACATTTTGCCTCCACTTCCAGATGGATTTAAGCACATTTTACTCAACTCAGACCGAACGGTTCCAACTTATTATTAAAGAGTGCATTCCATTCTATAAGAAAATCTTCATAGTGGCCACGTACGTGGACGGCATCAGAAGAATTAGCCCTGGAAACATGGTGCACTGGTCGATCTCAATGGGGTCTTCGAAGGATCGTGTACCATAACGACCCTTACTGGAAAGCTAGTTCCGAGGGGATTTGCACAGTGGTAGCTAATGCCTCTAGAAAACTATCCAACATTAAATCGATTCACGAAATTGCGTAAGAGCTTCAGGCTGAAGCTCTTACGGTAGACCTCCTTGAGCCTGACGACGGTGACAGATGACGTCATATTCTGAAGACGGTGAGGGCAGTGAAGGAGAGCCTGCGTACACTAATAGAGGAACACTTAGGGAATACTCTGCTGAGGAACTCCCGTCAACGACAGCAATCTCTGCGAAGAAAAAAGAGCCGAAGTCCGACATAGGCAAAATGTCTTTTTTTTGGCCCCCCCCCTGTACACACATGAGTCCTTTTGATAAAAATCTTGAAGTATTCGAATGTTATCCAAAACTTACTAAGCATTTCGAGATACTCGACATAATTTCTATATTTCATAGGTGACGTACCTTTGACAAATTTCTTTTCCCTTAACTCTCCAACAGTGTCGGTGATCAGTTTCAGCTTACTCGAGCTACGCTCTCTCGGCTCATCAGTTTCGTCACCACGCGGGCCTAAGCCTTTAAAATGAATCAAATTCTATATGAACTTCGTCGCATACTCAATAAAAATTCAATCACACACGAGTTGCCATGAAGAAACCAAATTTTTAAGCCTCACCTCCTCCAATATAGCTTTCACTGCTCCCAACCTCGGTAGAGTTGTGAATTTGAGATGAGGATACCCATTCAGCTTTCCATACCTTTAATTCACAAAGATGATGCCCGAGGATAACGTTAAAAAATAACAAACGAAAAGGAGAAGTTGTCCGCACAACTGCACTAACCGTTGACTGCTTTCCACACGCTTGTAAAAAAATCCTCCTTCTGGGAAAACGATCACCCAGCGCCGATCACGGTCCCAAAACACATCTTGGAGGTGTTGCTTCAACCTGAATCACGAAAAACTACGTTAAAGCCTTGAGGAAACATTTAGAGAGAAAATGCTATTTCAAAGTTGCAACGAATGTAGGACCACAAGAAAAAGCTTGGCTAGAGCTTTGTTTGGTACTTCAACCATCATAAACGAATATGACAGGCATTTCTTGGCAGTGATATCCTTTTCAAGGTCTAGCCTAAGACTGGGTCAAATCGGGGCAAAGTATTGCCAAACGGAGCCAGCGCCGGAATGTAGTATTCGTCTGCAACCCAGTGAATAACCTTACGGATGGATTCTCTCGAGTTTCCCTTCAGCAATTCAGGTTGAAAACAGAGTGAACAGTGCCAAGAAAATATAAGAACACAAGCAAAGACAAAAAAAGATAAGCTATGAGCTCGCAGAGGACCATACGCGACGAGTAATCAAACGCTGATAAACACTAATGAGACAATAAGGCCAATAGAATTCACGTTGAAATGTGAAGTTTCAACAGTAAATACCTTATAATCTCCTTTTCCCTCGTTGCTTGCCTTGCATAATGAAATAATCCCCATGATTGTTACCGACTATCCCGAACGGACTCCATCGGAACATCACATCCATCAACCATAGCGTCTGAACAAAATATGATAGTGAATAGGTGACCAAACGTTAAAAATACTTTTTAAAGACTACAGATCCTCAATTAAAACCCGATCCCTCCAATAAAAATGTACCTTTCTGCTAGCAACCCCTTTGCTCTGCAAACATGCCATCAATGTAGGGACATCGGCAGTGCTCTGATGATTGCACATCAATAATACTCTCTGATCCCGGTAATAAGTTGCTCGTACGTCACTCAATATATTCGAAAACTGTAAATAGTGGCAGCAATAACACGCAACATCATGGGTCCTGCCAATAAAAAAGCGCTGACGTGAAGAAAACGACATGCGCTTTTGAAAGCAATGCCGTAGAGATGAGGAACAAAAAATAGCCTAGAATATCTGTCAGGCACGTACCGTCGTATCCAGCTGTGTAACCCCATGTTCCGATGAATCAATCCTTGCAACCATCGATACAGCTTTCCTTCGACAAACCAATATAGACGCGGCCTTTAAAAACACGAAGATTACTGTATATGACATAATAATGAGAAGAACTAATGTGATGATTCCGGTGTTCCCTTTCAATATGCATAGTCCCATGTTGTAAGCTCTGCATTCTGTACTTGTAAAGGTCAAAACAAGCAACTGTTTCAGCAATTGTTCTAAGAACTTTAACAACACCATTCAACTAACAGCTGAGGTGCCTTTGGCGGGGGCCTGGCCGGAAGTGTTTAAGAGTCGCCCTTGAACAAGCTCTCAGCTGTTTCCCTAATGGCTGAACAATTGAAGGGGAGGTAAAGTGGTTTCACGTGTTGGACGACTGCAAAGTGAATGGTAAACACGCAACAAACTCATGGAATCAAAACATTATCTGGATCTCCACAGCCATCGAAGAAGAACGAACCCGTTTTCTACACAACACAAGATTTCCGCTATTTTTTACCACGGTGTTCGTTTACCAGGCGGTAGTTATGGGAAAGGGCAGGATGACCGTTGTCCCATGTCGCTACTCCTACACTTTTGTGCATATGAGCAGCATTCTTCAGCATTTTCGAGTTTCTTTAGATAGAGCTGCTTGCCGTTCATTCGCGGTTTTCAGCTTAGCAATTTCCCCGAGTTTTGACACTTTGCTTTGCGATTGTGCTTCCCTATCTTTTCTTTCATCACATTTTCATATCCTGGTACCCATTTATACGCCCGAAAGGAACCGAAAATCAAAGAACTGTGCAAACTGCTTTTTAAT